TGCACTCAGTAGGACGACGACAAACTTCTCAATTTTGCAAGCGGACGCCGAAATTTTTAGGTAACATTTTAGAGCCTCTCTCACTGAGCTTACTCGACCTGCAAATGAGGTTGACTATACGAAAATCACCTTGGTTATCACGGAAGCATTCTAGCAAAACGCGCACAAAAGTATGTTGCTGTCGAACTTGCATCAGGCAATAATATCCACTGTAGATTATCAGCAATCAGGACTCAGAACTTCATCGAGAGGGGGATTCCCACGATGGAGATCTAAGTTCCATGCAAGCAAAACATCATTAAAACAATGTTTGCATCAGTCAACGACTTGACTCCGCTGCAAAAAATCTATGATAATAGTTCATGGGAGTGGAAATGACGCTTACTTGTAATCAAACATCAGTTTTCTGGAGCAAATATTGTGAAGAAAAAAACTGCGCCTTGTTTTTTAACTAAGGTGCCTATCTTCCAAACAATCTTTATAGGCTATATCACCCACCATCAGTCGCGGGAACTCAAGGGATGAGGCTTCGCGCAGGCACTGAAAATGATGCTTAAGCGAGAGAGCGTCTAGTGGTAATCAGACATGCGGCTGAGCGACTCGTGCTTCGTATCAACTGTTTTTTGTTCGTCTTTAAACTCTATTTTATTTATTTATTTATTTGTTTTTATACACAAGAGTGCACCAAAACAACAAATGAAAGGAAAAAGAAAAAACACAAAACAGATTAATGGGATTGTCACTGTCCCTTGCTGGAAGGACCAGGTCGTTTCCTAGTCCAGGAAGTGAATAGGGCTCTGTCGAAATCTTTTTCCCTTACCCGGACGCGGTTATAAGGGCAGAAATTACCAGGGCTTGGCTGACCAACTTAACCCGGGGCGAATCCGTCAGGGACCCTGGGCGAACGAGAAAGGGGGACCTCTGGTAGAGCGCTCACTAGTCTTCAACCTCCTCGAACGGCTATTCCAAGCCCACGGAACTTTACCAAACCCTCCAAAAGATAGTGGACTTCAAAAAATCCTAGCAAGTTGTATATCATATTGAAGTTCTTGATCTCTTCTTTGACGCTGACAACGTCGCAGAACTCCATTTTCTGATTTGAACGGGAAATCTTGCAAAAACCGTGTTTTCAAAATTCCCTTGTTTTTCTTCATCTTAGCTCTTTCCAAGTTTTTATGCAATCCATAAGTTTTGCTTCCGTTTATAATGCAGATAACGTTGCAGGGCTAACTTCTTTGACTGTGGTGAAATATCAAGCACAAAGCTGCAAAAAGTGCGTTTTTGTTCATAGGTTTTATTGGAGCTAGTCAACAACCATTTCTTACACGCTCCGGACATTTTGCTTAGTATTATGAGCACAACAAAGCTAACAAGTCGCCAGGAACAGAAACTACGAGAAGAGGCTAAAAATTCAAAGGACGCACAAAAACCAGGTTGTCTTTGACGTGCATTTCGACTTCAGAAAAAAACAAAACTTTGCATTTTCATAAGAGTGGTTTTCGCTTAATTTCTTCTTGATAATCACCATTTCCAATAAAATGATTTTGGTCAATTACAATTGAGAAACTAGCTTTCCCTCGTGCTCCCCCGTGCTGTGGATTGCCTAGTCCTGTAGCGAAAATGTACAATACGAAATGCCATCAAGCGAAAAATTTCGAACTGACTGCGGCGGTTTCATTAGGTTTTCAAGAACTTATCATGCTTGCTGGTTGTTTTCAGATGGTCAAATAATCTTCAAGTTTTGACATCGTATCTCTATACTATAGAAGATATGCCTGTAAAGCTGACTGTAGTTTGTGTGTGCACGTATGTTCCAAATAGGAAATTCCATTTATGAACCGATAGGGACCAAATGCCACATACACCTCGGGGCGGGATGAGGTGTAGGCTGCCTTGGTTAACGATCGATATCAAGTTTATCGATTTTTATCGATTTTTCTAAAGCTGGGAGTTGCCACGAGGAGATTCGAGCACCCTGATTACGAATATAATATCAGTTTTTGAAATTATCCGTTAGTTTTGTTGATTTTATCGATGTTTTTGCAAACTTCGAGCCACAGGCTGAGAATGGCAGAGAGGGATAAGTGAGCATGCTAGTTACTAACACAGCGGGGATAGGGAATTGGCATGTAGAAGAGGGCACAAGGAAAGGGATAAGGATGGGGCCTTTATCATAGTGTTTTGACAGGGCCGGGAGGTGCTGGGTAAGCCAGCTAGCGTTTATAGTTTTGGTTGTCTGCGGGAGTAGCAAATATATTTGCCATATTTCGGATCATATAGTCAGCACGGCCACCTCTGGTTTTCCTTTTTTCCGTTGTTATAAGATCAGACATTGAATTTATGAACCTACGGTCAAAAGTTTTATTATCATGTCATTCTTTAGTTCAAAGGATGAAGAACGCATTGCACACAATACTCGACAATCTCGCACACGTTTCCCTTCATGTCCAAGAGTAGAATTACCGAAGTTATGATAAAATACAAGTATCTATGATCAGTTAAACACAGTTAAACACGTGGAAACGTTTTCGATTCTCCTGGTGAATGGGTGATAGGAGCCGGGCATATATTAAGTGATCTCATAGAATCACGCTCCTCCCAACAAGATATAGGCTGTACCAGCCAGCATCGGTCATGCGACGTCGCGCCTGCGGCAACTTGCGACGGTGCGATATGACGCGTGCGAACTCTGCTACGCATTAAGGCACATCGCGTGCGACGGTGCGTCGTCGCAAGTCATACTGGCGCGGGACCGATGCTGGCTGATACAGCCTATAACTGCTGCGAGCAAATAGTAGTCGAACTTCTTGCATTTCGGTTGTGATGGTTTTTCGAAACAACTAATCACGACTTACTAACACAACGGAAATGCAGGACGATTGGCATGCAATGGATTCCGGCTTTCTTGTTGGGAAAATTGCGAGACGATGGATCGCGTGATGTGTGCCCGGCCCTATGATCAACATCTAATCCGCAAAAGAAAGCTTAACTTTAACTTTTCTCAACTAGCCTTCATGACGGCGTGTCCTCTTCTAAGAAGGGACTACGAAGACAAAGAGGAAAAAGGAAAAAGGAAACAGGATGAAATGCAGTCATAAGTATGACAAGGGGACGATACCGGTATCCGTAGCCCTTTGAAATGAGATATATACCATTATACTCGTCCTGGAACGCTGATTCCGAATCTGATTTTTGTTTATGCTAATCATTTCTCTGAAAGAAGTTATTAAAAATTCTGCGCCAAGTTTGGCCGCCTAAGGGAAATGCGCCCGAGACTTTAGTCCTCCGTACGTTGTGGTGCAGTGGTTAGTGCGGTAACCTCACAAGTTGATGCAGGTGTAGGTTCGGATCCTTTTGTATTTTTCGGTTTTGCATTGCCTCAATTAGGATTCTTTTTAGAAGTTATGCCTACCCTTAGTCTAAAAAATGCCGAAAGTTGGGAAGATTATATTTTGCAAAATGCATCGATTGATGCGCTTACTGCAAGCAACTCCTACGCTTTCATCGCTTTGTTATAGATTTCCATCCCTGTGTTCAACATGCATTCATTTCCCATTCATTTTCATTTTTATAAGCACCTTATGGAATATATATAGGAAGCACTCGTATAAAGATGAGCATCGTTGAATTACTAATGAGTATGGGCATGCATTCATCTCGAGGACGCGTAACTTTTAAAAGAAGCTTAATCGAGGCAATGCAAACTGAAAAACAATAGGATTCGAACCCACACCTGCATCATCACGGGAGCCTATAGCACTAAGCTGCACTGCACCACAGCGTACGGAGGTACTAACGTTCCAAGCGTATCCCTTTAGCGGCCAAACTTGTCGTGAAAATCCTTCATAACTTCTTTCAAAGGAATGATGCGGAACAGGAAGTCAGATTTGGAATCAGCGTTCCAAGACGAGTGTAACAACATACACATCATCTCAAAGACACCGAGTATCGTCCCCTGTGTGCATAAGACCGGTTCAGCGCCCCAGTTCTATCTTCGCCGCCTGCGGAGCGCGCTCAGCCTCATTTCGCCGATTTCTGCTACCGATGATGGGTGATACAGCCTATAACGACTTGAACGGTGTACAGCCTTTAACTACTGAAAGGCAGTGTCTCACCAAAATTTAGTTGCCGAGATTTTTGCATTTTGCAAGCCTGTCGACCCTGTCTAGCACTGTATGGGCTTGAAATCGCACGAAGTTCTCAAACACCCCGTTATCTGGAGGCCCCGCTGAAGCAACGCGGACGAGTTGTACCTTCCAACTTCAGCCTCAGCCATAGTGAGAGCAACAGAGGGGAGGTGGATGCCAAGTGGAGGGACATGTTCGAACGCGTAAGGGATAAGACTGAAAGAGTCGTTCGCGCGTACCAAGTCGCTCTCCGCGTACGACTTTGAGCGGATTTTTCTCAGCGTGGAGGGGGTCAAATTGAGTGGGACTTGTTGCAATGACCTATTTAGGGGTCCCTATAATAGAATTTGTGAAGATCCGCGCGACCTCAACTTTGGTGAGGCACTGCCTTTAAATGTTATAATGATGCACTTTTCATCTTCGTCCGTCTGTCGCAATGCTCTGCATAGTGGCATGCCGATTTATCGTAAAGCCTGATCATGTGGGAGAAAGTGCGTCTCAACGGAAGAAAAATTATGCAAAAAGAAAATGCAGGCGAATTTTTCGTCACGCAGTCGGCGAAGTTGAACAAATTTGACATCGGATCGCTTTATTGATGGGATAGCGTTGGAACAGAAGATAAGTTTTGTACATATGAGTTAGTTAATAATGTAATTCATGATTTTTGCTATTTTGCAGCACTCTCACATTTCACTGTCACGTTACGAATCTTTAGTTCTTTGTACATTTTTCTTAAGGTTCTTGCAGGTTGGTTTTTTCAGATTCAGTCTTTCAGTCACTCAAATTACTTCAACATTCCATCATTATGGTCAAATCTTTGATGCTTTTCGTGCGTCGAGCAGCTCTTGCGTGTATACGAAAAAATCGATTCTATCTTATACTACTAACGATGGGAATTCTATTAACAGTGCATATATCATATCATCAGAAGAAGTTTCGAGATGTAAGTCAGAAACATTCGGAATTACTAATGATTTGAACGATCTTTTGAGGTTTTTGTCGACTCTGTCACGAAAAACCCGATTCTATCTTATAATGAAGTGAAGTTGGAGTTCCCCGTTATTTTAATCGACTTGCGCTTTCTTAGAAGTTTACCCAAGAAGAGATGGGATCCAAACGAAGACAATATCAAAATTGCCGTGCATATTCGGGATGGAGACAAATTGCCTCAAGAGTATCTGCAAAGATATGAAATTGTTTACTACGAGCAACCATTGAACAAAAGTTACTTACTTTTCCAAGACGAAGTGACGCGCATAATCCCAAAGTAAGTGGCACTCAATTCTTATTTATTGATTAGCGCAGCCTCAAAATCAAAGCTTAGACTTACTAGCTTGTTGTAAAAAATGAGGACTCTGTTACGCAAAGCAGTAACACACTGATAAGAATGCGTTCCTCTCTTATTGTGCTGGGCTTCGTCTTTCATCGCTGTTCATGAAGCTCAAAAACTTTTGCGCAACTTTGCGAACCACAACGAGGGCGATAACATTTCCTTTGGCCAATAAAAGAATAAAGGGCAATAAAGTCATGAACATGCTATCTATTTTTGCGAGCATGAATGTGCGCTTGCACATTAACTTCAATATAGAGAAATGACATCTGCCTACAGCGTCGCGAGATGCCTATTCTATAAAATGGAGTTCCGAAGCCCATTCCTGATTAGCGCCTTTGAGACGGTTTCTTTAAAATTGTTTTTGTTCCGAGAAACCTTTGATTCATGAACGATAAAGTTGAACCCACGAGGAAGACTTCCAAAGCGTTCGGACAGACGCAACTGAAAGCGCAAAAAGAGCCACAACACCGAAAAGCTACACCAGCCACCTGAGCTCTTTTGCCGGTTTTCCTGCACTCAGTCTTGGTCTGAAGCTAGTTTTCGAAAACATCACGCAAAATCAAAATGCTTGCAGTTACCCTAATTTCACTCGCACAAGGCACACCTTTTCGAATTTTCAAGCGGGCCGCTCAGCCGCTTCACTGTATTTCGGAGAGAGACCCTCACTCATACCGTACGAGTCTCTTATGCAATATACAACACGTTATAGGTTCCTTCGGTTGCAAAGTCTTTTGGCTCTGGGCTGGTCGATTTTGGAAAAAAGTCCCCCGCTGTACGCGTGAAATTAGGGTACATTAACCAAGAAAGTTTCAGAGTCTTGTGTGTGTTAAGCTTCACTGAATAATATAATGCTTTCTAAGCACGACTTGTTAAGGTTTGCCACCAGGGCGGGCGAATGTTGTTTTTTGTGGGAAACAGCAAAGGGGAAAAGTTTTCATGAAATCTCAATCTGACAAATAGCTGCAAGACAATTCTAACTCTTTGCAGGCCCGAAATTGAATCTCCGACGTCACTACGCTAATATACGGTTAAACTAACACGCTGCAAACGGAACTAGTGTTCAAATCTGTGTACGCGCAATTCCATGTAAGAAAATAACATTGCGCGCGAGAGGATAAGCAATCAGTTTGTGTATAACGCGTATCGGCCATTATTTAGTAAGTACCTAGACGACGATCAGAAGAAACGTGCGAATAAAGGGTAATGCTTAATTGAATGAAAGGATTGTTAGTGTACTTTGTTTTAGGTCGCCGCTCAATCTGGGAGCACCCTAAGATTGCCGAGTAAAGTCATTATCCCCTTCCTCACTTTCAGACTTTTTACCAAATCTGTTTCTTACTTCGATCGACCTGCTAGTACTCACTTTGACTCAATTACTTTCCCCGTTTTTTTGCTACCGCCCTTGACGAAATAAAACGTCTTTTTTGTTTATCGTTGTTTTATTAGGTTGCTGCCTAAGTTCTGTCCAATTTGAATTTTTTGAGTTCAAAATGTCATAACTTCTTTCACAGTCAACTTTTTTCCAAGATCTTAGTTTATTGTGTTGAGCAATTCCTTGGCTATTAGAGACATATTGAAACCTGCGAAAATCCGTGTTAAGTCAGAAGCAAGAATTCAGAAACTTCACAGCGTTTTTCTTCAAGCCTGTCTTTTTGACATGACAATGCTCCCTTATGAGAATTGATAGGCACCTTGTCTAAAAATGGATAGATAGAGAATTTTCGTAGATTATTTTGTACCATAAAAGAGCCCATAGGGTCTGCGTTGCCGAAAGATTTTTTGGCCGAACAAAAAAGAAGCCACTTTTTGACTTCGCTTCAGCGCATGTGTGCATGCCTATTTACGAATTATGAAAATTTTACAACTGACGTGAGCGCCGAAAAGAAATTGGTGGATGGCCTCTGCTAGCCCTTGCTTTACCCTACCACCTCCAACTATGAAGTCGTCGATTACTTCTATTCTATTAAAGTTGTTGCTTGTAAAACATCTATACAGAAAATTAATGTTTGACAATAAATTTCACTAGCAAGACGTTTCCTTCAGGAAACTGAATTTATGCGTATGCTAGCTTGTTACACCCTTATTCCGCAACCAATTGAAGAACTTGACCTAAGGGGGCGCATTGTGGAGATTTCCTGGCAAGAACATAAATCTAGGGTGAGAACGTACCTCGGCCACTTGGAGATTTTGGGTCTGAAATCTCCTTGCACTAAGAAATTTATTGAAATTTAATATGCTTTGGAAAGCGCAAGAAAAGCACTTCCTAATGATACTAACAGTTATACTTGGGTCCGAATCGAATAGAAATTCGATCATTCGAATAAAACATTCGAATATATTCGTATTCGAAATTCGATATTCGGAGTTCTTCCATTTTCGAATAATATTCGAAACTTGAATAATCAAAAAACGAGGTTTCGAATATTATTCGAAAACTCGAATAATCAAAAAACGGGGTTTCGAATAGATTTTATTCGAATGTTTTATTCGAATGTTTATTCGAATTCGTATTCGAATGACTCCGTATTCAGATTATTCGACTTTGTTGCAAAGCCAACTGCTAAGTATCAGGCTCACTTCGTCCGCGTTTTTTTTCGCAAAACTCGGTAATGCATCTTTTGCAACCGTTATACCTTTGAACTGTATGGAGAGTCGCCTTCTTCCGACTGCTTGCGACATTAAAAAAATCATATGTGGATTTTAATTGATGTAGAAAGTAGAGCAAGCCTTTTGCTTTTACATTGTTGATGCTGATCTTATATATAAAGCTGAATGTCTGTTTGTCTGTCTGTCTGTCTGTCTGTATGTCTGTCTGTCTGTATGTGTGTACGTATGTTCCGAATAGAAAATTCCATTTCTGAACCGATCGGGACCAAACTTGGCACACATACACTTCGGGCCCCGGCGGGTGTCATAGGCTACTTTTCATATCGATTTTATCGATTTTTTGCAAAATTTGAGCTACGGAGCTGGGAGTTGGCACAGGGGGGTAAGTGGGCATGGGGATTCCGAATACAATATTAGTTTTTAAAATCGATAAAAGTAATGCACGGTTTCGAAAAATATTGTATTCGTAATCAGCATGCTCGATTACACCCCTCTGCCAACTCCCAGCCCCGTAGCTCAAATTTTGCAAAAAATCGATAAAATCGACATCGATCGATAACGAAAAGTGGACTGTGACACCCGCCGGGGCCCGAAGGGTATGTGTGCCAAGTTTGGTCCGGATCGGTTGAGAAATGGTTCTATTCGGAACACACGGCGGAGCCGGGTAAGCCAGCTAGTAAGAAATAAAATTAATTCTGGTGTAAGTCTCTTTCAGACCATCTGAAGAAGAATCTTTTGGGCGCAGCATAAAAATTTATATCGACTGCTTTTTAGATCGTCCATAATGGGTAAAATATGACTTTTTGCTGATGTATAGACTAGATGCCGACCGACCGACTTTATCGATTTTTGGGGAAGTTTGAGCTGCGGGGCTGAGAGTTGGTACAAGGGGGTAAGTGAGGGTGCTGATAAAAACCGAAATCTATTTTATCGATTTCAGCAATTCTTGGAAAATTTTGAGCTAGGAGTTGGTATAGGGGATACTAGGGGGGCTGACTATGATAGGATCGGCTCTAGCCAGATATGTTGGCAAGTTTGAGACGTGATTGCTTTAGTTATTCGATAAATCATTCGAATATTAATTCGAAATTCGACTTCCAATGTTCGAATATATTTGATATTCATTCATTCGATATTTTTGATTTTCCGAATTTATTCGAAATTCATTCATTCGATATTTTTGATTTTCCGAATTCATTCGAAATTCATTCATTCGATATTTTTGATTTTCCGAATTTATTCGAAATTCATTCATTCGATATTTTTGATTTTCCGAATTTATTCGATTTTCGTTTATTCGAAATTTTTCCTTTTCGAATTTATTTGATATTCATTCATTCGATGAAAAATTCTCGAAACCCAAGTATACTAACAGTACCGCATAAGAGATGAAATTCTCTTAGAACAGCTGCTTCAAACATAAGGCAAAAAAATTCGGACAGGACTTATGCAGCAACCTAATATCTCTAACTCTTCTTGCCTTTTCTTCTCTTCACGCTGGACGTCACTGTTGCAGATTACATGCGGTACTACTACAAATACCGAAAAAAACATATTATAATCTTTTGTCGTATCGAGAGACACCTCGGTTTACAATCATCAAATGCCAGCTTGTGCTAGGCGCTGTTTGCCATACACTATTTGTAAGCTTACTGCCGGACAAAGGCACGAAATCTAGGGCACGAAAGAGGTATTATAAGCCATAGAGCGCATGAAGCGCAGGGTTTATAACGGTGCAGATACGCGCACTGCTTTCCTCCCACTCAGCTAACAGTGCTTTCGCATACTTTACCATCATTTTTACGCGTGGATGTTTGTTTCAGTCACAGAAAACATCCTTTTCACGTAGAGAGCTTTAATTGGCGTATGTTCTGAGCTACTTCTGCACAAAATCTTTTTGATGTCTCCTAAAAACATCAAAACGACTCTTATTGTAAAGCTTCGAAAAACGACGGTTTCTAATACATAATTTTGCGCTGAAACCTGCGAAAAAATTATGCGTTTTCTAACGCCGCGTTTCGCTTTAACGAAATCCTATGGATTATATATGCCATCTTGTGGGAATACAATACTTTTTGTTCCAGTCTCAAATATTAGGTTTTATCTCTCTAGATTTGCTGCTTTTCTTATATATAAAGCTGAATGTCTGTTTGTCTGTTTGTCGTCTGTTTGTCTGTATGTATGTATGTATGTATGTATGTATGTGTGTACGCATGTATCGAATAGAAAATTCCATTTCTGAACCGATCCGGACCAAACTTGACACTCATACATTTCGGGCCTCGGCGGGTGCCATAGGCTACTTTTCATCATCGATCGATATCCATTTTATCGATTTTTTCGCAAAGTTCGAGCTACGGGGCTAGGAGTTGGCACATGGGAGTAAGTGAGCATGCTGATCACGAATGCACTATCAGTATTTAGTATCATCTAAACTTCTATCGATTTTATCAATTTTTTGCAAAATTCGAGCTATGGGGCGGGAAGTGCACAAGAGGTAGGCATGCTGATTAGGAAAACAAAACGGGGATAGGAAACTGGCATGTAGAAGTGTGTACAGGGAAGGTTGTACAGGATAGGGATAGTGAAACTTATCATAGTGTGTTGAAAGGACCGGGCGGAGCCGGGTATGCCAGCTAGTTTTAATTATATAGCATTCAGTCTGACGGGTAGAGCAATGTGCAAATTACCAAGCGCGCGTTTTGCGATTAAATGATTGTTTTATTAGAAAACTAGATGGCTTACCCGGCTCCGCTCGGCCCTGTTAATAATATATTTGTAATCAGCATGCTCGATTACCCTCCTGTGCCAACTCCCAGCCCTGTAGCTCAAATTTTGCAAAAAATCGATAAAATCGATATCGATCGATGACGAAAAGTAGCCTATGACACCCGCCGGGGCCCGAAGTGTATGTGTGCCAAGTTTGGTCCAGATCGGTTCAGAAATGGAATTTTCTATTCGGAACATAGACGTACAGACAGACATACAGACAGACATACAGACAAACACACATTCAGCTTTATATATAAGATTGCTAATAGACTTTGTCATTCTGCGCCGCATCCAGCTGTTTATGCATATGGTTAACAGCTCATTTACAAAGACTTACCTGGCTTACAAAAAATGAACTAGGTAAATTCGTTTTAGCATTTCTTTGGAATCCTACGGGAACCTTTCCATTCCGCAAGATGTGGAGCAATTTGCCAAGTTTTGGGAAAGATCTGAAATTAGAAGATGCATTGGATTGGAAATTGAAAGATCTCAAATGAAGCCATATCTACCTGTGAAGAAAACGTTGCAAAATATGATACTCCTGCAGGAGTATCTTATTTCACTCAACGTCTATCCGTTCTTATTCGGTGGTACATTGCTGGGTAAGTCTTACTGTTTTTGCATACATTCTACAGATGCAATAGTTTATCTTTCCAAAGAATTCTGGAATCTAGCATATATTAAGCGCTACAAGGTGCTCCTTAAGACTGATAAAACCGAATTAAGAAAGCATCTTTACTTGAAAACGTGTAACATGAGACTTTTTGTTATATTGAGAATGCCTCAAGATTTGGTTAGCGTGATTGCTGTGTCTCTATGCCGAAGTCGTCTACTGATTTCATTATATTAGGTCGTTCCAGTTCTTTCCGTTTTTTCAACATATCATAAAAACACGTGGAATGAAGATGGGGAAACGTTTCAGGTCTATCCGACGCAGCTTTTCTTCCTCTTTTAAACTGTCATGCTACTGTACCGCTTGCTATTGTGGTCAGTGAGATAATGGCCGAAATTTCGGACCTATGGTTTTTACCATGTCCAAATTTGGCAATTTTTCACTATCTTCTTTCTTAACTTTTGGAGAAGCTTTGATAGCATTCAGATAGAGTGAACAAAGCGCAATGCAATGCAATTTTTTGGCATTTTCAGCCGGCTTCTCATTATTTTTTTCGATAACTTTTTTAGAAGTCTTCACTTTTTCGAAATCACAAAACACACAAACGCTCTGAACATCAACAAATCTTCGGTTTTCGAAACTTTCAAAAGTCGCTTATGATTGTACACTATTTTTTACAAAGTAACTAAGCGTTTACCGCTTCGAAATATAAGATTTTGCATTGCACGGATACATCATGAGGCGGGTTCAAAATCAAGATTTATGGAAATTTCATCGCCAAAGACTCCACAAACTAGTAAGAGAAAGTGCTCATCAGAAAGAGGAGAAAAAGCTGCCTCGAATGACACCTTAGTTGTGCGCCGCTTTATGTTCTGTGGCTTTTGGCATCCCCAAAAGTGGTATTTGATAGCATCAGAAAAATGATTATAAAAATGTTTTGAGGCTAGCTATAGATGCCGAAAAATTGCATAAAATTGCACTTTGTTTACTTTATCCGACTGCTATCAAAGCTTTTCCAAAAGTCAAAAAAGAAGATAGTGAAAAATTGCCAAAGCTGGACATGGTAAAAACCATGGGTTCGAAATTTCGGCCATTATCTCACTGATCATAGGAGCAAGCCGCACAGGAGTATGAATATGAGGGTTCTTAAAATTTACACTACCTTGAATTGCTTGTAAAGGATCTTCCATGCCAGGTTGCACAGATAAAAATCCGAGAAGAATACTCGTCTCATTAATATCACCGCATGTTTACCAAAACTCTAAAAAGAACCAAACTACCGAACATGATTTTTTGACTTTTTCTTTCCAGCTAAAGAAAATTTGTGCTGATAGAGATCCAGCATGACTTAGGATATTGTAAAAACAACACTAAACGGGCCAATTTCTTCTATGTTCTCAACGCAACTTTTTATGAAGCGCAGTCAACACAAAAGTTACTCATTCAAATGAGGAGGTCGCAAAACTTATTTTCACAGTTGTTTCGGTTTCTGTCGTAATGCGTCCAGTTATAAAGCATGAATAATTCGGCGTCTCCATTAACCTCTCCGGGCATGTGCCAAACGCACCTTACTTCGTAACCGAAGAGCACGTATGCGTGAATGACTTGCGGGTGCCAGTCAAGCACCATGTCAGTGCTTTCCTATCAGATTACCCTGTTGTAAACCTAACATTCCGGAAGGTAAAGGTGTTTGCGGACGAAAGCACTCCAACTTTAATCAGAAACTACATGTTTTCTCTGTTTTAAGAAAAACTTATGGCAACAAATGTTCTGGTAAGAAAGGTATAATTTATCAAGAGTGATGCTGAACTTCTCGACCAACTCAACATTCTCATTGCTATTTGAACCAAGCATATCATGCAATCGCAATGGGTTTTCAATCTCTGGCGCTTCAGCCAAAAACTTGTTGCCACCTTATGCAATTTCTAGCCGAGATCTTGTAGCATTTGCATATAGGTGGCTAAAAAGTATTGGGGAGTTTCTAGCGTCTATATCGCGTAACCTTGGGATAAATCTGTTTGTTTTTGCTGTGCGCTTATATTGCTACGCTATCCTCAACCGTAAATCAATCGCACTCCTGGCGGCCAATGGACAAATAGTTGGCATTCTCGGCTCGCTCAAAGTACTTCAAATGGGCATAGGATTAAGCAGCTCCAGTCAGAAGAAATGTCGACGTAACGAAACCAACAGGCCTTGCTTGCTCTATCAAGACTTCTTGGGTGCAAGCCATCATTAAGAGAAGAATCACCCGTACGATGCTAGTAGAAGTCTGTAGTGAAAAGCTACCCAAATACTCGAGTGATGCCAAACTGGAGAGGATGGGATTATGCAAAATGTTACACATTCAAGAGCGTGCGACGTATTAGGTTGTCAAGAAAGTGATAGCTACTTAATTGCTCGCTGTAGCAGCGCAGACATACCACCCAAAATGAGTGAGGGGCACTGTTTGATCGAGCACTAGCTCTGACAAGTGGCATCAATGCTTTCGCTCTAAGTTCAGTTTACTGAAAGTTTGAACCCAACATCTAAAAGGCTCTACATGCCAACATATCGAAAAAATTGGATCTTCTGCCAAAAATCTCTGCGAACCTTCCATCCACTTACGTATGATATCAGACATTAATATATACAGCTGCCGTAATTTTTCCTTGAGTAAGAACTGAGGCAAACGAAAGTTATTGTGTCTATCTCAAAGCAAAGCTGAGACGTTCATAAATGGGTAATACTATGCTACAAGCCTTTGTACGTATAACCGTAAACTTTCAGCCTATTTGAAGAACTAGTTTTCGAGAAATAACGAAATTTAGCTTTACTCTTCTTAATTGCGCGAAACATCGATATTTCTAGAACACTCGTAACGTTCGAAATAAAAAAGTAAAAATTTACACTTATACCTACAAAGGCTTGTAGTATGGAATCTTATATATAAAGCTGAATGTCTGTTTGTATGTATGTCTGTCTGTCTGTCTGTATGTCTGTCTGTACGTATGTTCCGAATAGAAAATTCCATTTCTGAACCGATCGGGACCAAACTTGGCACACATACACTTCGGGCTCCGGCGGGTGTCATAGGCTACTTTTCGTATCGATCGATATCGATTTTATCGATTTTTTGCAAAATTTGAGCTAGAGGGCTGGGATTTGGCACAGGGGGGTAATCGAGCATGCTGATTACACCCCTCTGCCAAATTTCAGCCCCCTAGCTCAAATTTTGCAAAAAATCGATAAAATCGATAAAAGTAATGCACGGTTTCGAAAACTAATATTGTATTCGTAATCAGCATGCTCGATTACCCCCCTGTGCCAAATCCCAGCCCTCTAGCTCAAATTTTGCAAAAAATCGATAAAATCGGCATCGATCGATAGAGAAAAGTGGACTGTGACACCCGCCGGGGCCCGAAGTGTATGCGTGTCAAATTTGGTCCGGATCGGTTGAGAAATGGAATTTTCTATTTGGAACATACGGCGGAGCCGGGTAAGCCAGCTAGTTACTTATACAAGAAACTTTGCTTTTTGAGACAACATGAGAATTTCCGTTTTTTAGCTTCTAGTCACGGGGTAAATAGCTAATAGCAGCAATTGCATAGAATATGATGTCTAAAGTATTAGGTTGGTGCAAAAGTAATGTAATGGCCGATTTGCGAATTCTCACTTTGACGTGCTATAACTTTTGGAAGAATTCACATTTCCGAATGCGGTAAAAATTATCAGAAGCAGCAAACCTTCTGCAATGCAGCGCACATTTTATACTCGTATCACAAACGGGCAGAAAAATATGGATTGAAAAATGAAAAAGGTTCTTCTGCTAGAACCTTGTCTTTGACAATTCATATCTTCCTTCAAAGTTTGTTAGTATAAATGTTAAGTAGCCTATCTTGTAGCCGCAAGCCAGTAGTACAAATGCAATAAAAAGAATTCGGACAGAAAAGTTTGCGAAAAAGAAAAAATTGAAATTTGAAATTTCTCACTTTTTTGAACATTTTTTCAGTGTGCCTCAAAGTCCCGAATATTGAGTTTTTTTGATTTTCTAGGTACTGAAAGCTGGATGTTTTTGCAAAAACTGCTAACAGGATGCCCTAGCTCTACGCTTACAGAATGAGCAAAGCTCCGGCGATTGACTTCTTCAGAAGAAAATTATGGGTCATAAAATGATCGCAACAGCTACCCATGTTTAGGCGCCGATATCTCAGTCTGGATAGCCTCAAAGAACACAGTCAAGTATGCATAATGTAGACAATTTCTATTACATACAATAGCTAAATTTTCGAAGAAATCCCATTGATACGCGCTTGAATTCAGGCCGGGAATGTGAAAGCAATGAAATTCTGAATTTGGATGCGGTTATTTGAAGCTCAGTAACTTTATAACAGATGAGGATGAGAGCACGTTTCAAGCACCGTTAGATAGAGCATGGAAACAGCTTTGCGATGGTATACTACATCCATTGTAAAGAAGAAGTATTGATGGAAAAAAGTTGCCATGAAAAAAGGTTTGGAAAATCGGCCATTACTTTTGCACCAACCTAATACATATGTGTACTGTGTACAACGGGAAATTCGTAGAAATTTTTTGGATGAAAATCCGATTTATTCCCGATTTTTTGGGCATTAAGAACTTTTAGAATTTGGCTCACACTTCCTCGTGGATCAAAATGAAGGGAAAGCATGGATGCCACTTGTAGAGCTTGTTTGCTCTATCGAAAAGTTCCGCTTACGCATTTTTGAAGTGCGCCTGGTTGATGTGCCTGGTATAATTTACCTTTGCTTTGTAGCGGTTGGCACTGTGCAACAAAGTACACACGGTGAAGGCGGCAACATCCTCGTCGTAGATAGAGCAGAACCAAATCGGAGGAGGGAGTCTCTACTGCAAGAGAACCAGTATCGAAAGGAGAAGACATTGGTGTGAACTATAACGAGGGATATGCTAAAGCATAGAACGAAAAGATGGTCCAGCTAAACTGCGAGCAAAAGATTTATTGCAGAGACGTGA